GTATTATATCAGACAAAAGAAGTATATGACCCTTATAACAGTGATCATAAGGTATCCAGAAAATGTTAAACAATGGACCAGGGATTTAGCTCCGTTGGTGCTTAGTCAGCCTTGGAAGGTCCTGAATTCAATCCCCAGTACCCTCCCAATAAGAAAAAAAAAAAAAGAAAGAAAGAAAGAAAGAAAGAAAGAAAGAAAGAAAGAAAGAAAGAAAGAAAGAAAGAAAGAAAGAAAATGTTAAATTATATTTTATGCTATATTTTTATGACAAAAATATTTACTATAATTCAGTAAGAAATCACGTACGCACGCACACTTAAACTTGGTGGTTAAAGAACTGAATGAGTTGAATTAAATATAAATAGTTATTGAACATAAAAGGTTAAGTGAAATTCTTGTAAATTCTTGTTAGCAACACTTTATGTTTATTCTTTGCACTTGAAGTAGCAAGGATAAAAGACAATTTCTTGGGCTGGGGATTTAGCTCAGTGGTTCTGGTGCTTGCCTTGCCAAGCGCCAAGGGCCCAAGTTCTATCCCCGGTACCAAAGAAAAGACAATTTCTTTCAACGTATTTTTAGACTTTTATCAATTCTGTTGTTTTGGTTTTGGTTTTGGTTCAAGGATTGAACTCAGGACCTTGTGATTGCAAGGCAGGCAGTGGAACCACTGAGCCAAATCCCCACACTTTTATCAATTCTGATTGACCTACTATTTTCTAATTAAGTTGTATAGAATAGTCAAATGTGACAAAGCATCACATTTTAATATTTTAAGCCTATTATAGGATGATACTTGCATAAAATACAAGATATAAAATTAATGCAAATATAGTAATTATCTCATACCCACAATAATGTAATCTTTTAAAATAAATAATTGCTAAATAATTATAAATGATCACTAAATTCTTGTAAATTACTGCTAGAAAAAACAGAAGGGGGGAAAAAAATAAACTACCAGCCCAAATTCTTTCATTATTTGATTCCACAGAGCAAAAATTACTATGTCACTATACACTTGATCTTAGCCAAAAGGCTGAGAAGTGACAATATATTACTATAAATATCTCTAAAACCTAATTCTCAATCTCTGTATCTCATTACAGCCTGGTGACAAAAAGCTCCCAGACCACACTCTGAGAAGCACTGCTTCACATAAATTTAGTCTGTGCCATCAATGACTGAAGAGATTCAAATTCCACACAACTGAAAAATTTTGAATTAAGTCCTGTTTTCTAGAAAGATTTTGGCTGGAACTCCGGGGAGCACAAGTAACAAGCTCCTTTTCTCAATGCCAAATTTCACCAATTTTTTTTGGGGGGGGTACTGAGGATCAAACTTGGGTCCTTGCACTTGCGAGGCAAGCAGTAGAACCACTGAGCTAAATCCCCAGCTCAGATTTCACTAATTTTTAAACACAGGAACATTTATTGTTTTCACCACCTATATTTCAATGAACATAAAAGATTTTTCATGTCAACAGTGGCTCATGGATCCTGAGACTACGTGAAATGTGTGAGCATATTCAGATTTCAGGACCTTTATAGGATAAACTGTGGGAACGGCAGCAGGAGGGATTATGGTTATGAAGAAAAAACAAAATTATCACTATGTGTCAAGAGATGACCAATGTAGCTGAGACCCACAGAACAGAAATCCAAGTATTTCTCCTAATGGAAACACAGGCACTATTTATGTTTCAGGTAAAAAAGGTGAATGATACACATACTTTGGTCTCGACCCATAATCTCATCTTCCCACCCAGCTCAGAAAACAATTCCTGACACTGCTCATGAGCCAGGAAGAAAGAGGTGATAATACTGGGCTCAAATCAATTCTTCTAATTTGTTTCATCACTAATACACACATTTAAATGCAATATATCACTGACTTCTTCAGAAGGTCCCAACAGGTCTCTATTTTGTGGAATGAGTCCATAGTTATTTGAAAAGAACATTCTGCTGAACATTAGGGAAACCCTCCCAAAGGGCAGGGAGATTCATAACATGTTTTTAAAGATAAGGCTGGATCTTCAAAATCCGACACTCAAAGTATATGTAACAATCTTAGAACAACTTATTTGTGAGTGGAAAAACAGTGAAATTACAATAGCATGAAATAATCAACAAATTACACAATGAGTAAAATTATTTCACGAATTTATTACCCATTTAGCATCACAGGAGTATTCTCATTATATAAGTATTTCAATGAACAAATAGAGAAACTGTTAGAATTTGACTTAAAGAAGAAAATCAACACAAGATTTTTTTAAATGCCTTCAAAATAATCACATAGTAAGTCTGGGATGAGAAAGTCGTATGATCCACCACTTTCAGGATACAATTGCTTGAATGGGTTTGTTGGGAATGGGTCCATATTAGCAGCCTCTCCCACTACCTCTGCTGGCTCTGCTCCTAGATAATGGGGGTCAGCTTTTATCCCAAAAAGTTAACTCCTGATTACTGGGGAAACTTAGTGCTTAATCCTTCAGGAGTCAAATTCTTCAGTCACAGTTCTGCACATGTAGCTCCAGGATTCTCTTACCTGTCTACAAAGCCTACTTTTCATCAATGATAGTGGTTCTCAACTAGGGGAGATGGGGCTCATCTACTCTATTCCTACCGCTTTCAGCACATCTGGCAATGTCCAGAGATATTGTGCATTTTGATTACTGAAGTAGGAGTGAGGGGTTACTGGCATCTAGTAGGCAGAAGGCAGAGATGCTGCTGGACATTCTCTAACACACAAGGCAGTGTCCATGACAAAACAGTAATAGTCGAGAACCCCAGGTCAACCAACATAAAACGTCTATCTATCAGAAACAACTAAAAGAGTACGGCAAGAGTCTTATCACATCATTTTTAATATTTACCTGAAAGGAATATAGGATGTATCTCCAAAGATTAATATTCCAAATGCTTCTTCTGGAGTTCTCCCCAAATATATAACCTACATTTGAAAACAGAAAAAAAAAGGCAATTTACTTCTAAAGACAGAATGCTGTTCACTGTAAAACAAGCTTTGTACAATCAGTGGAGCTGTGTTTTCTGTCTTCCCTAAGATCCTGAGCCACCCAGCACCTACCCGATTTAAGGTAACTCTTCCTACATAAATCTCTAGTATATTAAAGAATTGTGGATTAGACTTGGAACACAAGTTCAACTTAAAGAATGTAAGAACAATGGTTTTTTTTCCTATGAGGAAAATCTAAATTTCTAATGATGAACTTTAAAAAAATCGTTAATTTAAAAAAATCTAATGAAATGGCTGTACCTAAATATAAAGCATGATGAGGGTCAGGGATTTAGCTCAGTGGTTCTGCTGCCTGCCTTGCAAATGCAAGGACCTGATTTTGATCCCTGGTACCAAAAAAAATTAAGAAAAAAAAAAAAAACATGATGAGATAAATAGAAGGAAATTCACAGACTGAGATTCAATCTATTAATATAACCGCCAAAGACATATTTGCTAGTAATCTATACTTTCTTTTATATCTACTCAGCTTCCTGATTCAAAAGTCTTTCCCAAGTGAATTCTAAGTTTGTCACTTAGGAAGAACTGTATTAAGTCATTTCTATGTTAAAATAAATTCTCAGATTAATAAACTCTAAACTGAACCAATAAACTTTTCTTTTTTGGTACTGGAGATGAACTCAGGTCCTTGTGCTTGCAAGGCAGGCAGCAGAACCACTGCGCTAAATCCCCAGCCACCAATATACTTTTCTAATTTACTCTGGTGATCCTAACAATTTAGACTCTAGACATTTCCCAAATTCTTTTGGTATATTTTCACCAGAAGCTACATATACAGAATGCCCACTCTAATTCCACAGAGCTATCTGGAACCAGGAAACAACAAATAATTGAAGGCTGCAAGAGTTAGCTTTGAAGACAGGCCCCAAAGAATCTTACCTCCTGGTATTTCCACCCTCCCACAGTAAAAGCCGCTGCACGGAAAACAGTATTGCTTTTCACAGAGTGTGTGTGTGGCTTCTGAGGCTAGGTCATAAAGATGCATCCTCCCACAATGAGGTCCCCTCCCTACTCTTCCTACTGTGGGAGGATACCCATTCATGCAGCCCACATGGTGAGTACTGAGTCTTCCTGCCAGCACTCAGCACCGACCTGCCAAGCATGTGGCTTAGCCACCTTAGGAGGGGACCCTTCAGATGGTTAACTGTGGCCCAGGAGAGATCCAGACCCGGACCCACCCATGTGAAGCCACTCCCAGATACCTAACCTAGGCAAAATGAGAGAATGTTAACTGTTAACAGCTAAGTTTCAGGATGATGTACTATACATCAACACTGAGTAGCACACTCAGCAGCCAGTGCAGAGATGCAGCTTGGGATGCACCAGTGAGCCCTTCTCATCTTTGGAGGATAAGAAACCTCTCTGAAGGGACAAACAGCAATTTCCTGGAAAGAATGAAATATTGTGGTAGAATATACTTGAAAAGTCAGTAGTGTTTTTCAAAGTCACAGCATAAAGCTTTTTTTTTTTGGCTGAATAAAACCACAGCTATTCAGGTGTGGCGGAAATGCCTGTAGTCCCAGCTACTCAGGAATTCAGAGTTTTCTTGGCAATACAGTGAGATTCCATCTCTCTTAAAACAAACAAACAAATAAAAAACTGGGGAGGGGATGTGGCAATATGACAAGGTCTGACTACATAGTTAAGGCTGGCCTTGAATTCACTATATATCCCAGGCTGGTCTCAATTTCACAACAATCCTCTTGCCCCAGCCTTGCAAGTGCTGAGATTTACAGAGTGCCCTACTATATCTGGCCACTGCCCCCACTTTTAAAACCACTGTCTGCTTGCCACAGATTACTTCTGGCCCTGGGGTAAAAAAATCAATGTTTTAAAACCCAGAAGGTGCTCAATTAGTAGCTGACAGATGCTGTGAGTAGCTGAAGCAAAGGGATCACAAGTCAGTCATTTATCATTTGATCCAAGCTTCAAATAATTAAAAAACTCAGATATTTCAAACTTCTATTCTTATACACAATGATCTGAAACTTTATCTGCATAAACAGGGTCTGCTACAGTTTAAAAACCAAACATTACATAAGCCATCCTGCCCCAGAGTTAAGAACAACAAAGAGCATTTAAATCCCAACAACAAATGCAGCTGCCTGAGAAACCAGTAAACTATTTTCAAATATTCTTTGTGGAAAAATGTCACAATGTTTGCAGTATTTAAAAATTCTTGTTAACTATTTTCACATTTCAGCCAAATGATGCCAAGAATTTGATTGTAAAAAAGAAAAATCACTCTCCAGATTCACAAAGAATGTTAAGAATCAACACAAGTTCATAACCAGACACTAAAAACAAAAAGGTCAACAGGGCAAAGAATATACAGCATGAACAATTTCACATGAAAAAGTAAGTAAAACTACTTTCACAGCTCTTACACAAATATTGGCAAAAAAAAAAAAAAAAATCCCCAATCACATTGGGGGGGGGGGTTGAGACAGGGTCTCACTATGTAGTCGAGACTGACCTGGAACTCAGTATGTAGCCAGGCTAGTCTCAAACTCACAGAGATCCTCCTGCCTCATCCTCCCGAGAGCTGGGATTATAGGTGTGCGCCACCACACCCAGCCAATCACTTTTTTAAAAATAACCAAATAGCCTTACATTTTACTAGTTTTAACTTTTCAAACTACTTTTATTTACATATACATATAGTAGGTTGGCATGATAATCCAATTTAGACAAAAGTACATTGGAATTCTGGAAAAGCAAACATATCCACTAAGGCCAGACAGCTTATTTTAAAAAATAATAAGTGAACTGACCTAGTGGTGGGGGAGATTTTCAAAGATAAAGCACAAGTCTTGATTTTTTTAAAGAAATGATGTAGGCTCCTAATTGTAAAGACCTATAACCATTTACAAATACTTTATGAGTTACATAAACTGACAGGCTGCTACTTTCCAAACCAAGGCATTAACTGTTCTTCCAAGATCCCATTGCTTGTTACTGATGAAAGAAGGCCTCCCACTCAGGCTGTATTTATAGACAAGAAACTACTATCTGAAAACAAGGACAAACACAGAAAGGGAGCTAAAATTCCAAAAAGCTTAACCAATCTGCAACCAAGGATCCTAAGTAGTCAGTGGGCGACTTCTTCACTACTTCCCAAAGTTAATAGCACCATCACCACCCACCACCCCCACCCCCAGGCACACATCAGGGGCAGCTGAAAGGTCAGTCCAAACCCCTGGGTAAGAAAGGGAAGAAAACCTGACCAACCCTGCTGAGAGAACAGCTGCCTCACCACAACTGATGGCAGGCCTGGCTGCTATTTACAGCTGCCGGGCCCCTGTATGCGCCCGCCTTTCACAAACATCCAAGGAAGGGGTGTGCCCAGAGACGGGTGCTGACACAGCCTCTGGTCCACACATTGGTGTCTGGTCCACACATTGGTGTCTGCCCTGCCAGGAAGGCTGTTTGTTGAACTGGAATCTGACCCACAGCCTCCACACCCCCACCCCACACACCTTAATCCCCCTCCTCTTCCTGGCCTGGTCCCTTCCTCCTGCAGCCACCCTAAAACCCAGCACTAACTATTCCGATATGATTAAATCATTTTTAAAAATGGACGACAGGTTTAAAAGATCATCATTAAATAACAAATGAAATCCCTGAGCTCTTATCATCACTATTGAGGCAATCTCAAACTCAAGGCAATTTAGGATTTTACTCACAGATTGCTGAGTTAATGTATTCTTAGAATTTAATTAGTATCATAATTTTCCACATACGTGTGTACAAGGTAAGCCATTTGCTAAAGGCTATTAAAAATTGCTTTAAAGTTTTTAAAAGGTGGTAAATTCTGAAGTCACCATAATTAGCTCCATCAAAATAATCTATTAACTCTCCAGGAAGCCATATTTGCAAGCTATATACCAGCAGTTTGATTGTGTCATACATTTTACATTTAGAATGATTCACATTTATTTTACATACAAAAAATGTTAGAAACCATAGTTAATTATCCAGTTGCATCCTGGTAAGTGCGTTTAACCTATGAAGAGATGAATGCTGTGTCTGCAGGAAAATATAAAATATGGTGACAGTTAGAAGTAGCCAACATGAATAACCAGTAAGACCAAATGGTAACTTTACTAATTTTTTACTTAAAAAGCAGATTTAAAAGTATTTAAAAACAGTAGAAGAGCCAAGAAAAAAGGAGTAACATTCAGTGATGGGGGGGGTGAGACAGTCTCACTGTATAGTTGAGACTGACATGGAACTCACTAGGTAGCCCAGGCTGATCTCGAACTCACAGCAATCCTCCTGCCTCAGCCTCCGGAGTGCTGGGATTACAGGCATGCACCACCACGCCCAACTGTGAATATTTAATTTGTACCAGATCCTAAAGTAAAATTCAAAGCCAGCTCAGTCTGAACCTAAACCATTGACCTCCACCCACTGTAATTCAAATAATTTTACCTTTTCCTCCTCCTTCTTTACTTTGGGAGGAAGGAGTACTGAGGATCATCAGCACTGAGGGCTCCATACACAGTAAACAAGTTGTGTATTAACATTCCACTTCCATTACGAAGTGTACATGTAAAAACTTTTCAAAGGCAAAATATTTCTAACATGAGTTACTACATTTAATTGTACTTTTAAAAAGCTGTTTATTAAAATAAGTTATGATTCATATGTTTCATTTATCAAGATTTTTTAATCAATTCAGTTCTTGATTTTAATGACTGCCATAACTAAAAAATTTTAAAAAGTCTTCTCTTCCGTAATTGGTCAGCGCGAATGCAGTACATGCACCATGATCTTAGCTGACCAAATGATTATACAGTGATCCCTTAGGATCCTCAGGGACTGGTTCTAGAACCATCCCTCATACTAAAATTCCTTATAAAACAGGGCATTTGCATATATCCTCCAGTATACTTTAAATCATCTCTAGATTACTTACAATACCTAACAAAATGTAAATGCTATGTAAATAGATGTTTATACTGCATTGGTTAGGGAATAATGAAAAAGAAACTCTACATATGTTCAGAACAGATGCAATTTAAAAAATGTTTTCAACCTGTACTTGGTTGAATTCATATTTTTTTAATCTCACTCACAAACGTTATCCATTAGCAAATTCTCAATATTCCAAATGCTAATGATGTTAGTAAAAACTAAAGGAAAACTATTGAACATTTTATAATGTTGAGCAAATATGCCTGAAAGCTTTCTTTCGATGATTTACAACAGGTTATAAAATTATTGTTTTTTAGCTACTGAAACACTACTTTGAAAATTGGCAATTAAAGGGAAATGACCTATCTGCTCTCTTTTCGGTAGGTAATTTTATTTCAGTTTAACAAAATAGCCCCAACCATCAGAAGGAAAGCTCATCTTCCACAAAAGAAAGCCAAATAATAAATAAAGGATACAAGGAATAATTAGAAAAGCATTATATCAAAGCCCTAATAAAACTGACTTGGACAAGTACAGTCGGGCATCGTCTCATGGGGACACAGCCTAAGAAATTCATCTTTAGATGATTCTATCCTTACACAAAGTTCATGGGATGAATTAACACAAACTAAGATGGCTATGACATCACTAGGCAATGTAATTTTATGTGACCACCATGGTTTCTGTGGTCCATCAGTGTGCATAACTGGAATGAGTTGTTTAAACACAGGTGAACGGTTGACAGGCAACCATGTATACGAAGAGTGTCAACGCCATATTGAATACTTTCAGTCAGAAGGAAAAAAAAAAATCACATACTGAAGGGTTTGATGGTTACCACCTAATCAAGTGATCACCTGTATCCTTGCACAATGCAACATTTACTACTAACGCATGAGTCTTTAGATTTAACTTCCTCAGGTTCAATTTATTTCTGTGGAATTTAAATATAGTCCAGAGAAAGAAAAGCCAGAGAAATTCAAAAGGTGGAACATGTTACCAGACAATAGGGCTGGCCTCTTCAATAAATCAGTGTTGATCAAAAAGGGAGCGCTGAAGAGTAGGAGATCAGAGGCACAACCACCTCAGCATGTGGCCTTGCATTAGACAGCGTAAGATATTTTGGATCAACTGGGAAAACATGAATATCTCAGTATCAAGATTATCTTAGTTACTTTTCTTGTTGTGGAGACAAAATACCCAAAACCCAAAGTTAAAGGAGAAAATTGTTTATTTTGGCTTACAATTTGTATCAGTTTCGGGCAAAGCAGGACAGGCAGAAGGCAGCAGGCAGCAAGCAGAAGCAACAGCAGCCTGCCCTCTCCTTTTATCTCTGCCAGGCTACCCATTTTTTGGGTGGTGCCATCCACACCCAGGGCAGATCTTCCTTAATCGCAGCATCACACACCCTAAATCCAGCCTCTAGATACAAACCATAACAAAGATAAAACATACACTAAAGTGAAAGAATGGGTCCCTAACTTTTAAAAAAGCAGGTGATAGAGCTATTGATAAACATCAAACATACAGTGCATGTATGTGTATGTGTATGTGTGCCTTACATATGCACACATGCATGTCCTGCTTCTATAAATATAAGCTTTTCTCTAAATTTTCAGGGTGCAAATATAGATTTCCTGCATGACTTTTACAAGATGACAAAACAAAATCCCCAATTTTTATTTTCAAAATGTTCCTTTAATCATGAATTTGTTTTGAAATGGATTTATGTTTCTATTCAAAATTTCACCTTTACTTTGAAATGACACGGTTAGGTACCACCATCCCCAAATCTGGCTAACAGTCACTGACTTACCATTAACAGAGCAGCAAGCATCATTTCATAAAACAACTGGGCACACATCCTTTGTAAAAGAAAATCTCATTTATCTTCAAAGCTCCTCAACTCTTTTCCCAGTGGAATAGAAGACTTTTAGCTTGACTCTGATTTGTTATCAAAGATTCCAGGATTCAGATAGCTAGAATGGTAAAGCCATTTACCCAGATGCATCAGAGATAACACTTTGAACAGTCAGAACGCTCTTGTCACTTCTAATGACACACGGGGCATGCTTGACCATCTGACAAAAGGACTAACAGAAGGTAGACACATCAGCCTACATTTTAGACTACGTGACATCTAATCTCTTCTGTTCTTATGATAAAAATAAAGAGGTCTATTATTGTTCTATTCCTGTGTGCCAAAGCTTCACATTTCTCCCTACCACCCCATATTAAATCTGTTTACAAATAAAAGCTCAGAGTTTAAAAGTAAACAGTCCATTTGGAATATTTTCTTCCTATCAATTTTTCCTGTGGATGTTGTTCAAGGGGAAAACCCTGGGTTCAAACCACAATACCAAAAATAACTAAGCAAACAGACAGACAAATAAATGAAATTATTTGACATTCAATTTCAACTATCTTCAGTAGTTTTTGGTCTAATCTTTATAAATTCCAGATTATCAAACTATATACAAGAAAAGAATCTTAGAAAGTGGAGACAGCCATGACAGAGCCAGGTAGCAATTTGAAGGTGAGGAAGAGCTTATCCAAAAATCTACAAAAACCAATCCTTCTTTATTTTTATTTTTAAAAATCTAAGTGAATGACTTTCACACTTCTGGTGGGATGGAAGTGTAAAAATATCCTAGAGCAACTCCTCTCCACTGGACAGAAAAGATGAGAAAAGAGGCTTCCATATCAGCCCACAGGTGGGGGTGTCCTGCTCTGAGATCTAAGTCAACTCAGGAGGAGAAACTACACCTGCAGGGGCTCCTGCAGATGAATCCAGTTTGATGCAAAGTAAAACTGGACTATAAAAATAAAAATACAGGGGGCTGGGGTTGTAGTTCAGTGGCATCACACCTGCCTGGCAGGCACAAGGTCCTGAGTTTGATCCCCAGTGCCAAAACAAACAAACAAACAAACAAAAAAAATCTCTGGGTTCAACTCCTAGAACCATATAATAAGCAAGCAAACAAATAAATAGAAAACTAAAGGTCTTCCAATATAACTTACTAATAAATGAAATTCTTAAGGAATTAAGACATATTAGCTACAGGTACAAATTCCCGATGATTAATATGATCATTATGTATGGCAAACATGTACTAATATAAACAAATAAATAAAATTCTTAAGCCTCATGTAAACAGTGGCTATTCCAAAACATACCTCCAACAACCCTTATAGAGCACCTGGGAATCTAACCAACATGGTATGTTACCTGTTTTCTTACAACACTGCCATGCATGTCCGCGCACGTCCTTGCTAGGTGTTTTCATGAGAACAGAGATGACCTAGTTGTACTAGTGAAGTACTTACCATATAGCATCCAATAAGGAAAGCAGCATTAGCTTGTTTTCTTTGATCACAGCCAGTAAAATGAATAATTTTCTTCCTCATCATTGTAATGGACTGCATAAAAATAAATAGTTGTTAGTATTTTTTAAGTTTTAAAAACTTCTACCTTGTGATAAAGACAAATTAGAAATCTCACAACAAATAAGCATTCACATTAACAAGAGATTTGAAAAGATCTTTATGTCTTCCCATAAAGACACTCTGACGTCAGAATGAATATAAAACTGAAGAGGAGAGAAGGAGATGTGATGTGAACAGATATAAAGACAGACTATCTCTGGGACATTTCCAGGAAGTGCTGAGGGGCTGTGAAACCAATGCTATGAGCAAAGTCTGAAGTTCTATGCAGGATACCAGTCACTCAACAGTGCTCTGACTCAGCCTCATAATCATACCATCTAAGAGTAGTGAAGTGCAACAGTAAAAGTTAATGTCTCGTAGTCCATAACACAGCAGCAAAAAAGCATAGACTGACTCTGAAAGAAAAAAGCAGCAACTAGAAACAGAGATGGGAGAAACCTTTTCTTTCTTGATTACTTTTTAAGTAGTCTATTCTAAAAACATGACATTAAAATACAAGAGTAAGTTGAGTGTGGTAGCACAAGTCTGTAATCCCACCACTCTGGGAAGATGAGGCAAGATTGAAAGTTCAAACCCAGCCCGGGGAATTCAGCAATTTAGTGAGACCCTGTCTCAATTTTTTTAAAAAGGGAGGTGGTGGGATTAGGGATGTTGCTCAGCATAAAGGTCTGGGGTTTAATCCCTGGTACTGCAAAATAAAAGATGGAAGGGGGGGGCCAAAACAGGGTAAAAGTAATCAATGCTGTTGGAAATCAGAAATCCTGAATAGGCAAAGAGGAGGGTGCAGAGAGGGCAACCCAGAGGGTGAGTGGGAGTTTGGAGGGGCTGCCAGTTTTGTTTTTGATCTGAGTAAGGTAATTACCCATAGGTATTCCATTTGTGAAACTCACTGAGCTGTATACTCAAGGACCTGTACATAGTTCTGCATATTATACACCAATCTAAAGTTAAAAATAAAAAGGATATGCAATTTCAAAACATAGGAACACACAATCAATTAGCACAGTGTGTTTCATAAACACGAGCAGAAATCAACTTGAGTAAGGATGGATCAGAATCTTCTCAGCCCAGTAAGTACATGCTGCATGGCTTCTCTAGGTCCACGTTCCAGTGTTCCAAAGCTCTATTTTCCAGGATGAATGTGTATATATTAAAAGACTCGAGTTGATTAAAAAAACAAGAATAGAACCCAAGTAGCCATCTGGCCACAAAAGCATGGCCCAACACTCCTCCTTTCAAACTTTCAATTCACTTTTTATCACTACTGACTGGACAGGTACTAATGTTTCAGTCAGGCTGGATGGCAACACATACAAGTTGTTCTAGTAAATTATTAAAAAAAAAAAAAGATGTATTTTTGGCTGATCCAAAAGATCAAAGTCCACAGACTGCTGGGGTTGGGGGGGGACTTTCAAAATTAAAGCAAAGGGAAAGGTTCAGGGAAAGGGAGTTATTTTCAGCTTCCTAGCCCTGTGGGGAAAAAAAGACCAAGAGCTGCCACTAGCAAGTGGAAAAGTGTGTGGGTATCAATCAGCAAGGCCATGAATGTTTTACATTCCTATGTAAGAGCCCAAGAAGAAGGAAAAGTCTCCATCTCTGTATAATTTGTAGTGAATGTGGTTTGATGAGCAAGGGGAAAAAAATTTCCCTTACTCAAAAATTTTTCATTACAGTAAATTAAAATTCTAAATAAAAATAAATTTTATTTTGTTTTATAGTTGCCTGACAGGTAATCCACTGAATACATTTTCTTTAAAGTTCCTGCTCCCAAATGCAGTATTTGCTACTCGACAATTTATAGCAATTAGTCTGGAGCTGACAGCAAGCAGCACATAAACTCTTCAACTGTGCCTGATCAATAATTCAAAACTTTTAAAATCAAGATATGAGGTCTAAGTTCATACTAACAAATATATACTTTTTTAACTTTCAGCAGTAACAGCCATTAGGGAAACACTGTGCGTTTCTCTTGCTCCACAGTCATACATATAAGGGATCAAAGTCAAGAGTCACAGTCCTAAGGGAATTTCAAGATAGGAAGGAAAGCAAAGTCCATTTTTCTTGGTAGCTGGCCAGCACTTCCTTATCAGAATGAAGGCACAAAGAACAAGGACCACAGCAAGGGGAAAACTTCTCATTTTGTTTTAGTTCCATTCAGTCAGATAAGTAAGATGTTTACTGAACTACAAATTTCCACATTGATTTTTCAAGTATTTGAGCATAGCAAACCCAAACATAGTTAGTTAAAGGACACAAACTTAAGTATTTCACAGAAACTCTAGAAAATATATATGCTACTTTGTCACACACACAGAAATGTGTATGTCTTAAACACCACTGCAATAAAAGACTCCATTGTTTTTTCAAGATAGCTTAAAAAGTCATTTCAGCAAGAAACTATTTTATTAAAATAACTTTATTTTTGTTGTTGTTACTGTTTGTTTGAGACAGAGTTTTGCTGTGTAGTTCAGATTAGACCTGAACTCACCATGTATCCCAGGCTATCCCTGAACTCATAGCTATTCTCCTGTCTCAGCCTCTCAAGTGCTGGGATAACAGGCATGCGCCACCATGACCAGCTTATTTTGTTCAAAGAATTTTAAAATAACGTTTTCAAAAAGAGACATGTCTAGGGCCAGGGATTTAGCCCAGTGGTCCCACCGCCTGCCTTGCAGGTGAAAGGACCCGAGTTCAACGCCCAGTATCAAAATGCGCGCGCACACACACACACACACACAAAAGAGATAGGTCTTGGGGGAGGGATTTAGCTTAGTGGTGCTGCTGCCTGCCTCCCAAGCTCAGGGTCCTGAACAAAATGCGCGCACACACACACACACACACAAAAGAGATAGGTCTTGGGCCAGGGATTTAGCTTAGTGGTGCTGCTGCCTGCCTCCCAAGCTCAGGGTCCTGAGTTCAATCCCCGATATCAAAGCAAAATAAAAAAAAAACAAGATAGATCTTCCTTCTTTTCTCCTAGAGATTAAACTAACAATAACTACTAACATCAAATCTTAAGTAAAAAGGACTTTACCTTTAGTTTCTTATTTATCTTGCAACAGTATCTGTAAACCATTGCCAGATTGAGAGGTCCAAAATCTGCGTAGAAGCTTTAAAATTGAAAAATAGAAACATGTATATTCTAGATATATCTTTTTTGGGTCTACAAGATTAAATAAATGACAAGAAAGCATCCACCAAACCAAACTGATATGGGTTATATAATTCAAAGGTACTGTCTTAGTCGTGGAAGAAATATTCTGTTATACAACATAAAGCACCAAGTGGGCTGTAGCTCAATGGTGGGCACTTGCTTAGCATGCCTGAGGCTGTGCACACTCAAACCCCAGCACTATTGAAAAAACCAAAAATACAACAAATGCTACACCCTCAATCTAATCTCAATTAACATGAAAAAACCATTTAAATTAAGAAATCTGGTCTTCCACACATATTTTCCACTGGCAAAGCCTCTAGCTTACATTAAATATAAAATATGGATGTTTAAATGTAGACAAGTTCTGTGGTGCACACACCTGTAATCCCAATTACTTGGAAGACTAAAGCAGGAGGATCCCAAGTTTGAGCCCAGCCCATCTCAGGCAATCTAGCCACACCCTGTCTCAAAATACAATTTAGGAACAATTAGGGATGCAGCTCAGTGGTAGAGCACTTGACTAGCATAGACAAGGCCCTGAGTTCAATCTCCGGTACCCATCCTCCCCCAAAAAATACCCAAAAAGGGGCAGGAAAGTTAGTTTATTTTCACACCACCTCACCAAACTACTTTATTACCAGATTTTTTTAAATTCCTTCAACAAGTAACAGATTTACAATTTTCTACAGCTACCCTATTTGTAAACATACCTTTACAGATACTAACAATCTTTAAAAAGTAGTACTTACTTCTCATATTCAAGTTCATTATCTATGCTGAAATAATGTTCATTTGATGCACTCTTTGGTCTGCTGTAGAGAATGGCAAAACAAAGGCGATCTGAAATGGAAAAATGGCAATGTTCCTTCCTGAAGTTATTAATTTAAAGTTTCCTATAGCATGATGCAACTCTTCAGATGAAGTCAAAGTTTTATTTTTTTCCATGCAAGTTTCAAATAGTAGGGGTGACAAAAGTTAATTTCAAAATATTCTGGCTCTTTTGGTAGAGAATAAGCAATTTTTTAAAAGGAGAAAATTGTCTTGAAATGTTTCAAATAGTGCTTAAGTATCATTTCATGTAGAGATATGGTTTGATTTTTCTTATGGGGGGGATTGAGACAGGGTCTCACTGTGCAGTTTAGGCTGGCCTTGAACTCTCTATGTAGCCCAGGCTGGCCTTGAACTTGCAGCGATCCTCCTGCCTAAGCCTCCTAAGTGCTCAGATTACAGGTGTGCGCCAGCAAGTGGGGCATGTGGTGCTATTTCTGAGGGAGCCTCTCATCGTACAAGTTTAGTTCCTCTGGACTAAGAAATGTCAGTGACCGGCAGTCTGTGTTTGATGGCATGCCATCTAGTTTGCTGTTTTCAGGACATCCTAAAAAGTCCCTTCAGTAAGAAACTAAAAAAAATGCTTTCAAAACTGCTTCAAAATTAGTTTGCAACCACAGAACACCACAAACCAAACCATATGTTTACCCAACTGTTCTGAGTGATCACTATTTTTTTTTTTTTTAATTTGGGATCACTACTGGGGTTTCTTTTTGAACATTCAGACAAATCGCTCAAGTGACAGGAGCAGAGAGAGGTTTCCATGGGAGGTGCTGGAATCATTCCTCGCCCCACTCCAAGACAGGCTACTAAGGTCCCGCACCGCGTGTCCTGTCATCGCCCGCTGGGAAGCAGTACTCACTTGTGGCAGGTCGTGTGACAGGGCGTCCCCTCCTCTATCCGCCACCCGCCCAGGGCCCTCGACCCGGTCACGGTCCCCACCTCTGCCGGGGTGTCAGCCACGGTGCCTCCTTCCTTCCTTCCTCCCCCAGCCTCACTCACCCGGGATCACCTCGGTCAACCACGGAACCCCGTGCGCCCCCGGTGTGGGACCCCGAGGCATCTGGACAGCCCGGCGCGAACAGGGCCACACCCCGAAGTTCGGTGACCCAAGTGTGAGGGGCCACTCCCTCGTCCCCTTCTGCTCCTTCTCCTCCCTGGCCCAGATGTCTTCTGCTAGGAAGGCGGCCGCAAGTCTGCCGAGGCGCCGCGGGCCCTCTCCGAACGGGCGTCCCTGCCCGCGTCACGGCAGGATGGGACGGGCGGGGCAGGCGGAAAGGATGAGGGCACCGCGGGGAGGACAGCCCGCCCTCACCGCCAGGGGGCGCCCGTCCTTCTGGAGTGAGGTGGGCGTCCTCTGCTCTGCCGGGGTTAGGGTTGTTGCTGGGGTTAGGGGTGCGAGCCTAGGGTTGGGGTTAGGCATGCATTCCACCAGTTACACCGGGACTGCTCAGAGAGGACTGCTGACATACTTCCCAGTAACCATGCAATGTATATTCTTTTTTTCTCCCCGCCCCCGCCCCGTACCAGGGATCCAACTCAGGACTTTGACCTTGCCAATCAGGTGCGGCGCCACTGAGCTACAACCTCATCCCCATGCAACCTATAGTCTAAAACCTACGTTTACATTTTAATTTCAAGTGAATACTACAAGATTGATAGAATATTAACAGCAAGTATGTTTACTATCATGCTGCTATTGTGGGTCCCTTTCCACTCCCTCACGCACTTTCCACAAGAGCATTAACTTTAGTAATCCATGAAAAATCTTCCTATGACTTTCCCTTAAAACAGAAGTACTACAACAGCAAAATTTTACCCAAAATGACACTCTACAATTTCAATGTAATATATACACTGAGGTACACAGCACCACTTTTGCCTCAAATGAAAACCTGCACACTTCTTGCCTTACTCTACAATTCTGGATGGATCAGACTTTAAATGCTCAAACCAAAACAAAACAAAAACCAAGCTCCATAAATATTAATACTTCTACCTACAGCTTTCCAGACAATCGACTGCTAGATTGATACATATTTTTCAATGGCTTTCATGGAATAAATAAACCAAGGCAGAAGATAAACAGGAAGAAGTATTTTAAATTCATCCCAAGAAGATGCCAAATCTATGTTATTGTAAAAATAACACATTGAGTCGTACCACCATTACAAGTATGAATTTAAAACATATATACACATACAGGATTAGAGATGCAACTCTAAATATCAAGTCACTGCAGGGAGACAAAAGAAGCTGGTAGTCATAGTTACTTTTTAGGGGAAAACTGTCTTGAAATACATAAAGACATTGGATGAGATTTCACAAGAGAACTTGTTAAAAAAAAAAGCTGTATGCCCTTTCACAGCTTATGAATTTTCTACCATTTATGACCTATTCAAAATGAAAAGTAAAGCTGCAAAGCTGATTCTTCGTCAAGATTACAAAGTAGAGTGTGAGGCAACCTAGAAAATACCCTTTGCACACTTCCAAAAGAGAACTAGCTAGTAACTTCTAGGGTTCTGTTTGCTTTTGTTTGTGATAGTGTTGTGAAAGAACTTGTGCTCTACCCTTGAGCTACACTATACCCCTTTCGAGAGTTTTGCTTTGTTTTATTTTGGTACTGGTGATGGAACTCAGGACCTTGTGGTTTCACAAGCAGCAGAACCACTGAGCTAAATCCCTGGCCCTTCCAGAACATTTTTTAAAAAGCTAAATCTTAAAGTGTGGAAAACAGTGAGATAGAAATGGAAAGAGATTTTCCATTCAAATCCAAACCTGAAGCTCAATTTCCTAAGGAGTATTTTCTACAATGCAGGAGGAAGCTATCACTGATTTGCAAGTCTACTGACATCTGACTAATGTCACTATTCTCTTGCTAAACTAGGGGGCTACTACATCCTGCTACTACAGAGACCAGGGTGCTGGGTAAAGGGCATTTACTAGGAACCTCTACCAGCTAGAAGCAGGTCTCTTCACAAAGTTTTGTTAAAAGCCTGTGATTAATCCTATAACCCCTTTATAAGTCCACAGTTGCCCTCTTTAATGGCTTTGTAGTAAAAACAGACAGGTTAAGGGCTGGGGATTTAGCTCAGCGGTTCCCGGTGCCTGCCTTGCAAGCACAAGGAGTTCGATCCCCAGTACCAAAAAACAAACAAACAAACAAAAAACAGACAGGTTAAGTACTGAAGAGCTTCTTTTGCTATCTATGTACAGTGTGTCCCTGTCACATCACATCACTACCCCTGCTTCTCTGACTTTTCAGGCCTCCAGCTGGCTACCTCTTCTTTTAATACATATTTGTTAGATACATGAAAAAACAATTTCCTACAGAATGACATAATATTTGGGCATAATTAATCATAGAACAGACAGTGGTATCTCTAAACCGCGAAACAGGCAGGAATTAGATAGGAACCGTAATACATACAGTAGGTCCCCCGAGGCACAAGGTTTCAGTTAACCTTGATCCCAAAGAATCCCTGCAGCACAAGGGAGAGAGCAGAGGGGGAGGGGAGAGCAGGGAGAGGGACAGGAGAAAGAAAGGCAGGCAGAAAAGGAGGTTCTAATTTCACATATTATGCAAAACAAATAGCAAATAAGATAATTTTAAAAAGTTGTCAGATAACTATAAAAATGTTAGCAAATAATTTTATAGTTTAATACTGGGAACTTTAAAGTACAACACAAAACTCAAGTTCTAAAAGGAAAAGCTAAGAAACTTAAAGGAAAAAAATAATAAAGAATTAATCATCATAACAGATAAAAGGCAATACATCAACTCAACAGGGAAAAAAAGAATTACAAAGACTACGAGTAGTGAATCCAAGAAAGAAATATAAATGACCAGTATCACATGAAAAGAAAAACCAGTCGACTGTCATGTCACATGCCTGCAATCCCAGCACTGAGGGAGGTTGAGGCAGGAGGATCTCCAGTTTGAGTCCTATCTGAGGCAACATTTTGAGATTCCGTCTCCAAAGAAAAAATAAATGTGTTGGCTCAATGATATCCTCTTGGGTTCAATCCCCCAGTATTTTCCCCTCAGAAAAAGAAAGTAATCTTACCAGTTTCTTCACATAAAAAGAGAGTCTATCAAAATGAATTTAAAAAGCACATGACTATCTCATGCGCACACACACACACACACACACACACACACACACACACACACGTTATTCAAATCAATACTCTGAGGGCCAGGGATTTAGCTCAGTGACACTGAGCCTGGTCTCACAAGCACAGGTCCTGAGTTTGATCCCCAGTACTGGGAAAAAAAAATCAATACTCTGGGCTGGGGACTGTAGCTCAGTGGCAGAGTACTTGGCTAGCATGTACCCATCCTTGGGTTCAATCCTAAACACTGGGAAAAACAAGTCACTACTCATTCACAATTAAGTCTTTGCACAACAGCGCTTAAAAAAGAATTTCCTTAATCTGTTAAAGATCATCTTCCAGCTCTATACTGGTAATAAATACACTTCCTGCCTAACTTCAGAAGCCAACCCCCCAATAAAAAAGATACAAAAATTCCCACTCTCATGCCTTCTATTGCACAATGTAATAGCCAGAAGTGCTTTCTAATGCCAACATAAGAAAAAGAGTAAGAGAAGCACTGGAAAGGAAGACTCAAAATTGTCCTGACTTTCAGATCATGATTATGCGCCTAGAAAATTAATAAGGTCTGTAGGCAAACCGTCAGAATAAAGTTTTGCAAAATTTTGATACAGATGATTAACACACAGAAACCAAGAGCTTTTCTATATCCTTGCATTAACCAAGTATCAAATAAATAGAAATAAAAGACATGCACATCCCTCCTGAATGAGTAGAGAATAAAGCAGATAGGTTAATGGGAAGATGCAAATTTCCCCCTTACTGATTCTGATAAAAATCTCCACAGGCCTTTTCATGATACTAAATGCTGATAACTAAATAGTACAGGGGCCAAGAAGACCTGAGAATAGTTATAGAGAAAGAGGAAGGGGCCAGGGATGTAGGTCAGTGATTCTTGCCTGCCTTGCAATCACAAGGTCCAGAGTTCAATCCCCGGTACAAAAAAAAAAAAAGAGGAAGGCCGTTATCTTACCAAAATATTAAACCATGTAAGACCAGGGATTTAGCTCAGTGGTTCTGCTACCTCCTCGAAAGTACAAGGACCGGATCTCCGGTACCAAAAAAAAAAAAAAACAATCAACATATAAAGAGTGACACGTAAACTGGTGGAAGCAGCATCACAGATCACTGGACCCCATGTGAGTCCTGGTGTGGACAGGAGACTGGCTATATTGCTGCGGGTGTGGAGGGAGGTCATTCAATCCCAATCTTACACCAGAATATATCAGTACCCTCCAAAGAAGAAAATACAGAAATATAATACCCATCAGAGGAGCAGGAAAAGGTTTAAAAAAAAAATGGAAAAAACATCTCAATTCTAATGCAGAAAATCGAGAAATCTAATTTCATGATCTTTAGTACTTCTAATCAATACACAAACTGGTGAACAAAATTTAAATAACAGTCTAAGAGAAGATTAAGTGAGTGCATAAAACTAAAAATAATATTAAATCAAAGAGAAAAAAAATCTAACACCCCCAAAAATAAATGGGCAGAGGATGGAAATAAGAAATACATTAAAAGTGCCAGGTGTGGTGACCCATACCTGTAATTCTAGGACTTGGGAGGCTGAGGCAGGAGGATCAACAAGTCAGATGCCAGACTGAGATACATGCTAGTAAGTGAGTTCAAGGTTAGCTGGAAATATATACACACAAAAAAGAAGAAACCTAATTTATCCTTCCTCGTTCCTTCCTGCCAAGCACTAAAGACTGAACTCAGGGATGCTCTAGCACTAAGCTACATGCCCAGCCTTTCTTATTTTTTGAGACAGGGTCTTGCTAAGTTGCCAGGCTGGACTCAAACTTGCGATCCTCCTGCCTCAGCCTCCTTACTACTCTTTTGGAATCTGGCTACACAGAATGTGCATGAGAGGAATAGTGGCAACAAAGAGCCCTGAAGTGATTTAGTTTACAGCAGAGGCTTATTTCTTGCTGCTGCTACTGTATCACAGATGAGGGTAGAGGAGGCTCTTATGTCAACCCAGTCATACCAAGGATTCTGGGAGGGCCTGTGGATGCACTCGCTGGAATTCATCCCTGTTGCTGTAAGATATGGCAGTGGCTGCTTGCATAATTCTACCTGCCTGCAGCTGGAAATGTGCAAATGTAAATCAAACCAGTGTCATTTTATCCTTCATCTGTTTTAAGTACAGTAAGTACTCTGTT